ATGTGTGTAAGTGTGTGCCGCGTGTACGTGTGTCAACTCGCGAGCTTAACACGAGCATCGCGAAGCATCGTAACTCGGCTATTATGTTGTAATTAGTTTTCCAGTCCGGGCCAGGAAATTGTACGTTTTCTATACTTTTGTTTCTCTGCTGAGCGTTTCCTCGCGACCCGATACGGCGGCTCGATGAAATTTCATTAAAGCTCAAAGAAGCTCGCTCGTTCGTGCCACGAATTTCCATTTACCTCTTCTTTAAGTGATAATTGGTTTGTTACGTGTGTACGGCATTGTTGGATGACTGATGACACTTGTGTTACGGAGGATTCAAATTGAATACGGGTAATGGGACTGATGATTGAGGAAGATGAGGACAGCGTTGAAGTATCGAACGTCAATATTGCTTTGTGATATATATATATATATATATATATATATATATGTCGATTTTTCGTACTGAACTTTAATAGAGAAAATGTAAAAAACCCTGTGAAATTGAATACGATTTACTTTTAATACGAGTGTAATTTATCAGATTTTTGTTAATTAAGTTTAATCAGGTCAACTAGTAACTCTTGAGATACAGCGAGGAGACTAACTGAATGCATAACAATGATTGTCGATATTTTAAATTGTCGCAAAAAATATATCACGTTACAATACACTTGGTCTCATTTTAAAGAGCAGAGTTTCTACTTTCAGAGGCTTTCGAGTTCGTTCTTTTCTCACGGATGTTTTAATATTATGTAGCATATTATGTAGAACTATAAAAATTCAAACATCTCTGAAAACGTGGAAAGAATTTTTTCATTATCAGATGCCATTACGTTCTTGAAGATTGAAGTATCTCCATTACAACATCTTAAAACTTGTTTTTGATTATCATTTTCTTTTTCTCTTTTTTTGTAAAAATGTAAATTTGAATTTTGAATTTTACTTTGTCAATTCTAGAAAACTAGAATTCCTCTTAATCTTTATTCTACAGTTTCAAAAAGACATTGCATATGTTCAAGAAAAATTGTAAAACATTTCTACTGAGACATAAATATTAAATTCTACTCAAAAATTTTGCTTACTGTAATTAGTTTTTTCAATCCCAATTCGAGACAAAATTTAAAAGCAAATTCTTAAAAGAAAATTTGTGTATAGAATTTTATTCAGTCGAAATTCCAATAATATATTGATGGCTTGAATCTATCTTGTTTATTTTGATAATTTGAAATGATCATTTTCATTATCACGCCAAAATATGGAAAAATTATTTTATGTCTTATCATATCCAAATATTATTATATCAAATCTTACCACATCTAATATTTCTAAAGTTTTGATATGCCTATTTTATATGCAATAGTTTTGCAATAAAAAATATGTTACTTTCAATATTATTCAGTTCTTCTTGACAATGAAACATACATATGATAATTCTTAAATACGTGTTCATACTTCAGTTGAATCAATACAATAAAATAAGTAAAGGTATCACATAAATCTTTATTCTATATATCATAGTTTTCGAGTTATAGATGATATAATATAGTTATATATACTATTGTACATACATCGCCAGTATGCTAGAATTTTATCTGACATTTACAAAAAATATCTATCAATCTGTTAAACAAAAGTCAATTTTGTTTATAAACTTTTATTTTTGATATAATTTAAAATTGATTGTGCATTCAATTCAAATAAATAAATGTGCACGATTTGCAGAAGAAGATTCAAAATGGATTTGTAACTATTTGAGGAATGCCTGATATTTTTGACCAAGTATGGAATTCAATGCTAAAGAAATGCAGTAGCATTGTGTTGAGGCATAAGGTGAAAATATTGAACATTTTTTTTTTTCAATTATCTGCAACTCGAAAACTACGGTATGTGACTTTTTTTTTATTTATTTTATTCTGTGCATTTAACACTCAAAATACGAACATACATTTAAGAAATCGGATTTGAAAATTCGACAAACCGACATTTTATATTTCTATAATTCAGAATAAAGAGAATACTGCAAAATTAAATCCGAATTTTATTCGAGATAAACAAGCGAGACTGAGGATGTTAAACTATAAAAGTTGGAACGAAATATAATAAAAAACAACAGAAAAATCCGATTCGCGTCATAAACCTGGCTAACAAGAATTGTTAACGCTTCAGCAAAAACTAAAACACTGCATTTCGCACACTGGCGACGAAACTGACACAATTCAAAAAACGTGATTTTTCGAGTTATCACTAGGTTGCGGATGTTTAGGCAATTTTTTATTTTTATAGAGGTAATTTAAAAAAAAATGGAACCTACAGAGAAAATTGTTTTACGTGTTAAATATAACAAAGACTATTATACTTTGAATATTTTATATATTTTTATATATTACACATATTTCGTGCATTTTTGTACACCTGAATCTTCCATAAATGCATAAAAATAGTTGTCAATATTCATAAAATGTTGCAAAGACACACCTTAATTAATTATGAATATGTTATTTATTTATCTTCAGGATTTGTTCTATAATAATTTCTGATTTATACAATATTACTGTATTATGACTTTTATCATAATTATTATTGTGAACAAATACGTTTAGTTGAAAAATGTATTATTTCAAATGTTCCTTTGATTAGTAAAGTGACGTTTAATTATATTTAAAAATTGCTCTTCATTCTTCCTCGAAAACATACTTTTTCGAGTTACATCATTTTCGTTGCAAGTGTACGATACGTAAATATTCTTTCATGATTATAAACAAATTTCTAATTACAATTCAACTATGCTAATACGTAAACTATAGATCTTTATGCAAATCTATATTTTTTGAAAATATAATTAGAAAAATAGAATTTCAACGAAAGATTGTTGTTAATATTTTGTATATTAATAATCATTTAGATATTTGCTCTTCTTATCGTTTTCAATGATTTTGAAATATGTTCGGAAGATCATCATACTGAATAACTTTTTCCTACAGATATGTATATATTCACAAAAACATACTTTATATGTTTTAGAAAACAAATTTTACCAACTTTAATGTTTTTTTCAGGAATTTGTGACAAGATATTCGAAATTATATATTTAATTGCTTAAAATTTGAAGTTTCGATGATCTCGTCAACGATATGCTTTCTTAGTTTGTAGATTTCATGTGGTTTATATACTTCATAGTTTTTTTAGATTTCATAGACAATTTATTCATTAAAAACTATTTATTTCTGTGAATTATTTCAAAATTATTTCCTGTAGGTTTTCGATACCAATACTTTTTTTTTTTTAATAAGAACTGACCGTTTTTCAAAGTGAATATGTTCAACAAGATTGTTTAGCAATTAATCAACCAGACGTAAATATATGTAAAAATATTTATAATATTTCAATATTTCAATATTATATTTTATGCAAAATATTATATATTGAAGATTATGCAAAAATATCGTTAATGCAACATACTGTATTTTATTGATTAGACCACCATTACGTCAAAGTATTTTTACGTGCTCGTAAAACCATAAGAGATCCAACGCGAGCACGACGATTGCTGACTGCATTCGCGCCTTATCTATTGATAAATCTGGCTGCGGGACTATTTCTCGTCACAGATCAGACGGGGCCATTTTCCAGGTGCTACAGCATTCCAGACATTTCTCACACGCCGTTTCATCGAGAGCAAAAAAAAAAAAAAATCCTTAACATCCCCCTAACCAGCATTTGGCTATTAAACCACTATCGTTTAACCATCAACCACGTGTTCAACACGAACCAATCGAAATGGAGAGAATCCTTTGGGGACTAATCCCGATCCCCATGGTACCATTCAAAGTCGTCGATAGGATTTTCGCGAACCCCGTCACTGATGAAACACCTGATACTTGTGAAAAATTTGACTACTATTGGAATGATCCTTATTTTGAATAATTGTCTTTCGTTTAATTTCCAAACATTTTCGCAAAATTAACTTTCGAGTAAAATATTTATTTTATATGATCTCTCTTGTAAAATTATTGTCTTTATGTTTACCGTACTATATTAAAATTTCAGTTAAAATGGAGATGACACATTTTCGAAAATTTTGCAGAAGATTTTTGCCAATGTCTCAGAACCTAGAATCTAGGGGAAAGTCGAAATCATTTCTAATAATTACTCGGATGTTTTGTGCAATACTTTTTCGCATTGTGAACATTTAAAAATTTCCTATATACAGGGTGTTAAGATTTGCCACCAGTTTTTAAGCATTTCCGGTAGCGCAATTAAACAATGTTTCAAACAAAAGTGTTTTTAGTATCTGGTGGGCTACATGCTCCTATGTTCTTGAATCTAAAAAAATACTTTTTACGAAAAAAGGTCAAGGTCACCTTGATTTTTTTAAAATGGCACCACATGTTCTCGATATCATAGGATTGTTGCTGATGTCGAGACGAATTCAACAGTTTATTATATACTGTGACTCGAAAATTTTGTACAAACGTAATTTTAATGAAGAATTATTATGGGAATACATAATATGGGAAGCGACGAAAGTAAACAGAGACGTAATTACAGCGACAACGAACCGTCTAATACACAAAGCGGAGCTCTGTATCATAGTTTAAGGTTATTTCAAAGTCACGGTTATTACAATACACTGTTGAATTCATCTCGATATGGTGCCATTTAAAAAAGTCAAGATGACCTTGACTTTTTTTCACGTAGAAAGCATTTCTTTGAGATTTAAAAACATGGGAACGTGTAGCTCACTAGATACTAAAAAAATTTTGTTCGAAACATTTTTTTAATTGCCCTACTAGAAATGCCTAAAAACCGGTGACAAAACTTAACGCGTATACAATAAATATACAATAAAAAAATATACAATAAATATAGAATAAAAAAATATACAATAAATATACAATAAAAAAATATACAATAAAAATATACAATAAAAAAATATATATACAATAAAAAAAAACTGCAGTCTACCAACATCTTAAAAAACAAAAGAAATAATTTTATTAGAAGTTAGCTACCTATTTTTCGCTGTTTTCGGTCGACGCTTCTGAGCCTTGGCCTTTACTGAATCGTATGACTCGTTCTGCTTTACTTGCGGCTTAATTGCCTCGACAGAGCTCTCTCGACTTTCAATTTGACGGTTCGACGAGCTCTCAGGGCCGTTGAGCAATGGCTGGTATTGAGGATTTCTATCTATGGATGTGGAAGACGTGGATGACAGGTCGTCGTCGGCATGCCGTGACCGTCTCCGTGTCGTGATAAATCTGTTGTTCGCTGATCTTATTCTACGTAGACGGGCCTCGGTTCCGAGCAGGTTGTCGCCTGCAATAAGACAAGCAATTTTCATGAAATTTATGTGACGGCTAATCGAAACATATGGCTACCGTTGTTTGTTCTGTTCGTTGATATTTTCAATATAAAATTATCCCGAGTCGAGATGGCTCTGCTTTTTCAGAATTTGATTATAAACAAATATACTTTTAATATTTTAGTAAATATATATTTTTGATATCTTGATAATAATTCTCAATATTGACGATAAGGAAAGGTATATACATATATATATATATATTTTTTAAAAGAGTAAAATGGAAACAGAATTAGATTTTGAATGCTTTTACATTAAATTTATATATTATATTTATTACATTTTATATATTTTTATATTAAATAAAGCATAAATGTATATATATTTTTTATATTAAATAAATATATATACATTTATAAAAAATGTATATTTATTTATAATAAAAATTTATAAATAAATGTATATACATTTATTTGTAATAAAAATTTATAAATAAAGCATAAATATTATATATTTTTTATATTAAACACAGCATGATCTGTATGATAAGAGCAATTCTTAGTATATTTCTGAAACCTTTTATATTAAATTAAATGAAGATATAAGATTTATGCAAAGAAAACTATCTTTAGATATATTTTGAAATTAGAAAAATATATAAGAGAAAAACGAATCAACGATTTAAAAACTTACAATATGCGATGGAGATTGTAAGTTTTATGCGATTGATTGTAACCGACTTCTTTTTGTTTTTCTTTTTTAATATTTCTATTCATATTAATGAATTATAAAAATAAATGAGTCAGATAAGATTAAACTAACTTATATAAATAATAAGATTGTTAATTAAATAAATAAAAATAAAGTAAGGTTATATCGTTTACAATATTGACGTGTTAGTAACAATAAATAAATATTTAACTATAGTATATAAATAAATAAGTATTGTAATAAATTATAACAAAATTATAATCATATATAGTAACAATGAATAAATGAGTATTTTTTTATTATTTACTATTTATTTGTTATTAATAAATATTTATTTATTTACTGTTACTAACATGATTATATCATTTATTATATTAGTATGATATTTAATTAATTACAATAAAAGCTACATGAAGTAAAAGCCAAATTAAGGTACACTTGCATATTCATTAATAACTGTTCTATAATAACATACTACATACATATGTGATGTCTACTAGTAACTAAAGTTAGCTAAAAAAGCTTTGAAAGGTCCAATAAAAGCCATATTTATTAATTAACGGTATTGCCATAAAAAAATTACTAATTTTTTGAAAATTACTTATGATTTTTAAATAAATAAAAATAGTGATCAGTCTAATGATCTTTAATTTACACTTTTAATCCCATTAATGTCCATTGACAGCCAAGAGTGTCCATTATTCTTTATATTGCAATCTCAATTATAAATAAGACTTAAAGTTTATAAAAAATAAACCTATGCACACAATCAAAATTACTAGTCCCTCAAAATGTAAAATTTTCTAAAAGAAAAAAAGCAAAATCATCTTATTAAATTTAATATTAAATTTAATTCCAATTGATCATCATCGTCGTGCACGTATCTGCTGAAATAATAAAAACAAATTTATCATATGTACGTACATATGCATTTTCGACAGATTTCTGATGTTTCGAATTTTTGTATTATTTCAGAGATAGCTGTGAAAATGACATGTATTAAATAAGATGAAAAAAGATTGCCATTACCGCCAAAATCATTGTCGCTCGATTCGATGAAATATTGCTTCTTCGTGTCGGTGACTTTTTCTTCCATAGGAATCTTAGTCATCGTGAACTGTTCCAAGATTTGCAGATTTATTTTCGAACTGGTCCCCGCATCGGAACTTGCCGCGGCGCGTCTCGCTATCTCCAGCAGCGTTTCAGGATCGTTTGTATTTTCGGAGGCAATCACAAGTTCCAAAAGCGGATCCTGAAAATCCTCGGCCATACTCGAATCTAGGACAAATATATATATATATATATATATATATATATCTCGAGAGATTTTTTTGAAATGTTCATCGTGTTGTGAAATAAAGTCTGTTATACGCGTCTGCAAATAATATCCATGAAATCGATACGTTTTTCTATAAACACTCGTTCGAATAGTTGCCTTTGAACAAAAATTAAAAATCCCCTTTTTTCTAAGGCGACCTTTTACGTTGCAGTAATTTTTTTTTTTGTTGATACTGAAAATAATAATAAAATCGTTCCAAAAGTCGAATGAATTATTCATATTTATTTATTGTTGCTGCGCCATCATTTTGCTTTTAAAACATTTTTAACGGGAAAATTTTTATTTCAATCGAGAGGAAAGGAAGGAAAAAAAACTGAAACACAGGATTATCAGTTTTCGTTTTCAAGTTTAAATTTATAACGAACTTCGTAATTTCATCTAATAGTATAGTGTACGTCTAGGATATGGATCACGCGTATAGCCGTTACACGTTTTTTATTCGAAAATTTATTCGTTTAAAAATTGATAGGTATCAAATACCAGCGAGATTGGTATTTTATTACGTTTACATCGTACGGCGGTGCTCAAGTTTTGATTTTAAACGTAAACGCCGCAGCCGTTTCTGCCTCCGCTGGGATTTCTACTGGCACGAATAATGTAGCTTTCATTATTTTAATGCGCAGACTCGTTTTCAAGTTTTATTAACGTCCTGCATACAGCAAGTTGCATAATAAAAGTTGGCAAAGCTGCGTTAAATCCCGGCGAATGTGAATTACTTTCTGGCCAAAAAATGGGGAATGCTTGTGCAACGATGCCTGAAACAGCGACATATTGTTTTGTTGCTCGCGAGAGGAAACAACGTCAAACGTTGCTGCAAAATATTTGAACATATGGATTGATCAATATTTTTATAATTAACACTTAACGGACGAACTGTTTTATCTCTAACTTTCTCTAGTTCTGGGCATTTTTTGAAAATGAAAACTGAAGAAAAATACACGCGAGGCATTTGAAGCGTTTGAAACGTTTCGCTAAATTGAGCATTATCTTTAATAAAATTTTATTTATTTCCATATCTAATATTTAAACATAAATCTACGTGGCCCGTCTTAGGAAGTTAGCATGAAAATGCGGATCTCGTCTGTTGAGTGTTAAGCAACTCGTAGAAAAAGAGTGACAAATCTTCAATTTGAGAAAATGAAATGTGGATAAAATGAAACTTTAAGACAGTATATATATCTATATACTACTAATATTAAAATAATATAAAATATTATAAAAAATAATATAATACAAAAATATAAAATAATATAAATATTAAAAATAATATAATATAAAAATATAAAATGATATAAATATTACAAAAATAATATAATATAAAAATAGAAAATAATATAAATATTAAAAATAATATAATATAAAAATATAAAATAATATAAATATTACAAAAATAATATAATATAAAAATAGAAAATAATATAAATATTATAAAAATAATATAATATAAAAATATAAAATAATATAAATATTATAAAAATAATATAATATAAAAGTATAAAATAATATTATGAAAATAATACAATATAAAAATATAAAATAATATAAATATAATATAATATAAAAATATAATATTAGTAAATATTGTGTGATCGTTAAAATATTATGTATCTTCTCTTATATCTATCTCGATTCTAAAAAATAGTTAAATATACATGTATATCAAATTTTTTCAAGATCGCTCAATTCAAAGTATCGCGTATGTATCAAATTAATAATTAAAATCCAATTTGATCTTAATCAATTTCAGTCAGAAACTACAAAAATGTTTACTGTTGCTTCATAGGTATTTGTTAAAAATTAATAATACTAAAATATTAGCAATAGTTAATTTATTATATTAATTTACATTTATGATGTTGATATGACTTCACTGTTATTTTTAAATCTGAGATTCTTACGTCGTTTATAGATAGATCTAGGATTAATAGTATAAAATTTGTGAAATATCAATGTCATATCAGTATTTTATATTTTTTTATCCCTAGAAAAGATACAAACCATATACGGAAAAGATATCAAACCGTATCGATTATCGAAATTATTTGTACTTAATTTTCGCATTATATTTATATATTTGGTACGTAATAGGAATTTGCCTGATAAGAAAAACTATATAAATTTATCACTTTGAAAATATATTTTCATGATATACAGTAAGAAATGACAAAAATCTATAATTAAGTGATAGCTAAGGGATTGTGATAATTGTTCAAAAATGTTGATTACTATATATACATATATTGATTAACAAAGAAAATTAGCTAAAAACTTTGTTAATTTATGATAATCATATGCTCAATGAATGAGAGGTCATAAATTATCCGATAGTTTTCAGGTTAATCAATAAAACCTCTCGCTTATGCTTTAATAACCAAATTATTTTGATTAAAATCGGAACTTCAAGTTCTTAAATTTAAAACTGTGTTGAATCGTATGTATTTGGTTTCAAAATACACGAATCATTATACAAGAATAATAATAAATAACCAGTGAAGAACTTTTAAGATTCAAGCGACCAAACTTCCATTTATTGTTAGCGAACTTACGAGATTTTATAATAATTTGAAACATTTATGTTTGAATTTTAATCTTCCAATTCTGTCATATACGTTCTCGAATTCTTTTTGCAATTACTCCAGTTTATTCTGGCTTATCTATTAGTTTCTAATAGATAATATCAAAGTAATATAAAGTAACATAATCCGATTCTGTTTCATTTGTTACGACGAAAAATTTATTTGTTGAAATCCATCATAATTTTATTATCACTAATAGATTGTAGATTTTTATGCAAATTCATATTTTTGAGGATACAAATAAAAAAATAGAATCTCAATACAAATTTGATTTATGTATCAAATATTATAAAAAGCATTATAATTCAGTTATTTTAATTTAAATAAAAATTATTTATTTATTTCCTAAACTGACAATTTTTCAGTGTAAATAGTTTAATATTTTTTATAATATTATTAATTTTTATAATATTATTATAGAAGTGAAATCATCTATGATATTTACCAAAGTGCATTGTTTGAAAATCAAATAGAAATGAACAATTACTATAAGTTTGCTTTCATGTAATTCTTATTGAATTACAAATTACAATTCAACAAACTGTTAAAATGGAATTCACTATATTGTGCTTTATTTCCCTCAACAACGCTTTTATTTTATTGAATCGATTGCAGCATTCAATAGTTTGATCAATTTTTTAACTCCTTCTTTATTTATGAACAATATAGCTAAATTTTAACTATTTATTACATGAAACGATATTTAATTGTACATATTGAAAATAAAACATGTAGTACTATCATCCAAATATAGTATTATAATATTGAAAGCTCAGAAACCGATCAATGTAAATCATTTTCTTTCACTGTTAAACATTCTTTGATTGTCAAAATCTTTAGTCAATAAAATAATTTAATTGTAATACTGTAACGATTATATTATAGTAACTAAATTTCACCAATTGAAGATTTTGATAATGAAAGGATGTTTGCAAGAATAGAAATTGTTTCTAATGAAAACTGACTTGCACTAATTGGCTTCTGAGCTCCGTAGATAGGTATTAATGTGGTATTAAATTTCAATAGTTATCTATAAAAGTATTTAAAACAACCATCTAACTTGTAATATGCGTTTAAATGAACCAATGCTCATTTACTACATATATTTCACTCGTTTGTAATAAACGATATGAGTAAAAGAGCAAATTTGATTGAAAAGGAGGGAAGTCGTTCGTTTGATTTAAGTCTAAGACACACGATAAGAGTTTACCAATGTAAACTCTGCAATCATGATAAAAATGTAATCTTCGTTTGAGTTACCTGCATATTATGCAATTGAAGATAACGAGGCGGATAAAACGCCAAAAGAAACTGTGAAATAAAATATATCAAACTCGCAATATATGAAAAATGAAAAGAAAAAATGGATTGTGCAGAATCGTTGTGCGCGTCGAGAACTTTTTGTTCCAAAATTGTAATATTTTCTCAGTTTTAAGTATATTTAAGTAAAGTACAAAATAGGCAAAACAAATAATGAATTTATTACTTCTCAATAATTTCTATCCAGTGATATCGTACCGACGAGTTCAAAAAGAAAGCGACGAATTATTGTATACGGTTCGGTCACTCGTTATGGTCCGCAATCAGTTGCCAGCGCAACTAATATATTCACCGAAATTGCCAGACAACAGGCTACACTGAGTAAAATTATTTAGATTATTAATAAGATATGTTAGAGGACGAATTTAATCACAAAGGAACCCATGATGTGATACTTGCAATACAATAAGATACTTAATCATTAAACGTACAGAAATAAATAAACCTCGCAGCCAAGATTCCCAATCAACTGGAACAAGCTTTTTCAACAGAGGAGAAAAGAGCCAATCTTTTAGAATTCATTGAAACAGCATTGAATAATGAAAAGAGAATGAGAAATGTTAATATCCTTATTGAGCTTCTCTTAATGTTTCTGTTTTATTAATGTGACAATTTCACTTACGACTCGCGTTCTTCAAATTCATCTCGTGGACGGCTAGAGGCTCGCTGGATATTTTGGTAATATCAGTACGATCGTTCGCTGGATTATCCGCAGTTTCGGTAGACGGTTTCCCTTGTGGTTGAACGTTCGTCGACATTTTCTCCTGATTATTCGTTGTCGATTTCGCTTGGTCCGTGGTGACAGTCTTCGATTTCGAGTGCTTCGTGTCGATGTTGGTCGGAATTCCTTCCGTAGCAGTAGACAAGTCGAAATCGTGGGCGAACGCCATCACGTCCAATGCTGCGGTCAGTGCGTCCCCAAAACCAGCGGTCACCACTGAAACTTGAGCCTCGACCACGTTTGGGCTGCGCAGAAATTATCCATTTTCTTTTCTTTCTTTTAATTCCGATAAGAATGATAAACATTGAATTTTCAAGCAATTGAAAACCTTCAATCGGAAAATTCTCCTTTATAGCAGCTTCTCTAATAAAATAAAAAAAATATAAGTTTGTATCTTAAAAAAATACGTTGCATTGTAAAAAAATATGTTTTAAAAACAATTACAATTACAATTCAACAATATTCTATACTATATTAATCGGAAAATTCTCCTTTATAGTAGGTTCTCTAATAATAAAATAAAAAAAAATAAGTTTGTATCGTAAAAAAATATGTTGCATTGTAAAAAATATATGTTTTAAAAACAATTGCAATTACAATTCTATACTATATTATACTATAATTATTTATATTATTTATATTATACTATAATTATTTATATTATTTATATTATACTATAATTATTTATATTATTTATATTATACTATAATTATTTATATTATTTATATTATACTATAATTATTTATATTATTTATATTATACTATAATTATTTATATTATTTATATTATACTATAATTATTTATATTATTTATATTATTTATATTATAAATTAGAAATTGAGTCAGAAAGAAGAAATAAAATTTCTTCATTCAAGACTTTGTTAAAAATCTTCATTTATAAAATGAAATATATTTATGTCATTATAATAAACATGGTGTATAACATATATATATATATATATATATATATATATATATATATATATAAACATTGGAAATTCGTATAAAATTTGAAAATGATAGCTCGGATTTATGTAATAAATGACATAAAAATTCGGACAAATTAGTGAGTCTTTCATATTCACATGATATATGGTTTGAATTTAAATATTAAATATTAAAATAATCTGAATTATGTAATTATAATTTACGAATTTAAAAAGTTTCTTTTGTCCTGTTATATATTTTCCTTTTTTCGCTGCGACTGTAATAAATCATACAATGAAAATAATATCACAAGAAAAGTGTAAACATAAAAAAATGCACATATACATAAATCTTGTTAATAGTGCTTGCACCATTGTAAATAAAACGCAAATGTTAATGTAAACACATTGAAAATTTGTATTTTCTAAGTTACTAGAATATTCAAAAGCGTAAAAAGAAAATGAAGGCTCAAGGTAATTGCCTACTGATGAAAAGCGCTATCACAGTAAGTTCTGAATCATCTATGCAATTACTAACAATTTATGTTCACCATATCGCGAAAACGTTTATTTCCTGATTAAAAAGATATCTAATAAGCAATGGCAATTACTAATAATAGAAAAACTACGCTCGAATGTTCTAGAGAAACATGCTTTTGACTCTAAAAAATTGTATGTACTGACGTACTATATATATCAAAATGTTATTACAAAACCGCGGATTGCTATGCATTTATGGAAAATTTAAACCTGCAAGACTGTAGAAAGTTTGCTTAAACCATGCCTCTTTAATTGTGATCATAAAATTTTGAAATTGCACAAAAATCTGCAATCTGATTGTTACTATATTTATATTTAATATCAATATATTTACAATTAATAGCATGAATTGTGAGTGGCCAATATCCTGCAGGCATTCCTCTCAAGTATTTTGTATTTTATATTTTAAGTTTCAAAAGATTCAAAGTCATATGAAAGTTACATTATAGTGCGCATCTAAATGTATCTTTTTCATGATCTATATTCATAGAAAAAATATATAGTTATTTAAAAAAAATCGATGACCGTAGGAAAAAGCTTAGAGAAAAACAACCTTTGAAGAAAACAATGCCTGCAGGATATTGGCCATTTAAATTACGTACAAAATAATTTTTGCATCCTTAAAAAAATTTATTTGGAGGTCGCATTTAAATGAGATATCTTGAATATGCTTTTATAAAATATCGTTAATAAATTGATTACAGTAATAATGTGTAACGAGTTTCTACATAAATGAAAAATAAATTAAATAATATCCAAACTTGTAATATACCTAAAACATAATATTTGCTCATGGAAAGTATGCATATGTATATCGATATCTGAAAAATATTATTAATTTGGATACTGTTTTGTTGATGTTGTTTTGACTTTGTTAGAAATAATTGTCAACATATCATGAATATCATAATTCTCTTTTATGATAGTTTTATTATGAATTTTATTAAATTTAACGATTATAAATATAGGATTTTTTAGCACACCATATAATAACGATTCTTAATTCAGTTTTTAATTCATGTTCATATTTGTTTCGATTTTTAATGAATTTACTCTCAAACTGATTATATATTCATTTTTATCCAATAAAATTCTAGCAATAAAATTAATTAATACACTCTTGCTGTTAAAATATTCCACTTCAACCATCAAACTTCCGCCACGTGTTTCATAATTAATTTGAAACTCTGTGTTCCAAATTCTTGATTAAGTTTATGCCATACTATTATGTATACATGACATCCGAAATATTAAATTTATTTTCATTTATAAATATGATATCATCCCATCATGTTCTTTCCTTAGAACTTTTCAGCGCGTTTCTTCCATTTATTACCTTTTAATAATTCTCGAACTTTCTACGGATGATTTTTCTGGTTTCTTGAAGAAATTTTTCATGTCAGTTTAGAACAATTTAATACGAGATGTTTTCTTTTTATCTTTCGAATAATCTTTCGTTTATCACGAATGCGTAAAATTCAACACTTCTGAAGGATCGAGTAAAATCGAGTCTCGTAAATGTATAAACATATATTTTTGTTTGCCATTATTCTCTTATTCATGTTTAACATATTCATATTTATGCGATACAGCTTGCATTTTATTTTTGCATTTAAAATTCTCATATTTGCATTTAATTTTCACTAAAAGTAGATCTAACATGAGGGAAATCAATCTTTGTAACACTCTGATAGTAAGATTATTTTTACGATGTCAATTTAACGATTTATTATATGAATTATACAGGATATTTCCGGTTTGGTAGTATAACTAGAAAGAAGGTGATTCTACAATAAAAAATAAGTCGAAAAGAAGAGAAAAGAAATTTCATTTAAGACTCCGTTTTCGAGAAAATTAATTTCAAAAATTTATCAAGTGCTTGTACTTCACCTAATTTTGATCCTGAGATAAATAACGAACGAAAAATATTATTTTCCTGCGAGAATAAGTTAAAAGTATAAAATACAATTTCTTCACATCGAGAAAAGTTAAAAAGTACATATCTATACAATTTTACATTTTTCACTTATTTTCGCAAGTATTATAAAATAACAATTCTATCGATTGTTAACTCTTATCGAGTTAAATAAATTTAAGTATATTTCGGAAATCTTCAAGCTCAATTTTCTCGAAAACGAAACTCTGAAACGGAATTAAATGAATTTTATTCTTCCCTTTCGACTTTCCTTTCCAGCAGAAACCTAAATTGACAACATTCTTTCCATTTTTAAAAAAATTCGAACTCATATATTTCATATAAAAAAAAAATCTGTCTTTGTAGAATTTTTATAGAAAAAAAATGTTACGCATACAATTGAGAACGCTTTTAAATAACGTTCACGTGAAATAGATATTTTAGAATTTGTATAATAAACGTTCCAGAAAACAAGTTATTTTAGAACATTTAATTAAAAATCCATTTTTATATTCGCGTACAATTCACGAATTATCTGTTCCTCCGACAGATAAATTTTTATGTTACAAGTTTGTCTGAAACATTTATTTTTAAGAACATTTATTTATCTGTTCTCGTCGGGACTCGTAATGTAAGAACATTTTTCGAAAAAGTTCTACGATCCATGTTTCCAATAGAATCCATTTAAAAGTTCCTTAACTTTTTCGATCCCTGCTTTCCAGTTGTACAACCGGATCGAAAGTACTTTATATAAATCATGCGTATGTTACATATGGAAATATTTCTGCGATGTCAAACTTGAGCATTATTTGGTTTATCATTTGTCACGTCCATATAGATTAAGTAAATAAAATAACAAGTCACATAATACAGTATAGTGAACACGAACAGCAACAATCTCTCGGACACTATGGTATCTGAATACTAATGTGATTCATTGTATTAAAATGATATTCAAACGGGGCCGGATACGATATTTTGAAAATTCATGAACTGCGTTTAAAATTTCACTGAATATTTAAATTAGAAATAACGATTGGAATTTAATAGAATATGCATGAATTTTATATACATAGATAAATTGTATTTCGAGGAATACTGACGTTGGTCCTAAGGAGAAAAATAACTTCATTTTGTTTGCACGTCAAATTGCTGATATATCGAATTACATTCGCCCTTTATGTTATAATTCATAATGCTTTCTACGTAACATAAACGCGTGAAGTTTCGAGTATTGAAGCTTCTATATTCTCAACGCCTTACGGACGTTAAAAGTCCATCTAAAGTCATTTCGTTCGATCATCTTAGTTCTGTAATTTTAAAAAGTTCGAACATCAAGTTATTACTATATCTCGATAACTAAGATTTGGTGCCAAACTAATTTCTATTCTTCGACAAAATCTGATACCATTACAATTATGATCCGATGCAAAATGTTATTAATAACAATCGTCTGATATCGAGTGCTATTAAAACTGTATGAATTTTTATTAAAACTAGTATATTTCATAATTATGCAATACAATGTAAATATTAACTTAAAAATAAAAAATCCAGTCCTAATTATTCCATATAATAATTTTAAAACTAAAATTTAACAAATTAATAAGTTGTATATCAGTTATTACGATTTTAAGTCGAATAAGACAGTTGGTTGATTTATAATTTGCAAAATTCATTTGCAGAAATTTATCTACATTATTATCAAATTTGTTGCTGTTACATGAATAATTAATTCATTAGCATTGGTAATTTCAACAAATGGCCTGTAAAATTTTGACAATAATATTGATTTAATTACGCGAAGGTGATCCTATGCTGAGCAATATCCTAAATTCACGTTATAACGTTAAAAGTCTTGAAA